TTCATTTCTCTACTTAAAATGTGAGCAACTTTGAACAAGCTTTACCAACGACTCATGTTCTTGTCTCTTTTAGCTAAATAGTCCCATCTATCCTCAAATGTCTAGACGTAGTTTAACAATCCTTTGTTCGCTGCTGAAACAAAGAATGGCGTCATATTTGTATTATCATGTTTATTTCTTATTCATTTTCATTACAAATAAAATATTTTGGCTAAACAGGACTTATTATCATGTTTCACGAAAAAAAGTAAAGATCCGTTCACTTTTCCTGGTACATTATAAATTCAGAGTACACTTGTAGTTTCTTCGGCTCTCTCATTCATAAACTTACAAATATTTAAGGTTATAGTACCAATCCAACAGAGAGAAGGTGAGTGCCCTAACGTAGGTATGATGCTTATAAAACCTTTTTTTCTTCTGAAAAAAAAAGGGGGGGGGGGGTCTTCTACACTTAGTGCCGACGTGTCTGTGGACCGGATAGAACCACATCGCGGGCAGATGTAGCTCGCGGGCCGTATTTTGGGCATCACTAGCCCCATCAGTTATAGACTTATTTCATAGGATAAGGGTTATATTTATATTCTAGATCTATGTTTGAAAACAGGTTTATCTTTTGTCTGCATTAGGCCTACTAACTGTCACACAGCATAATGACGCTGTTTATTTTGCAACCATCTCCAAAGCAACGAGCTCATGCAGCGAGCATGCTTTCTTGGAAAAGTTGGAATTCAATGACCATAAAAGGGAGCAGCGGGGATTTAGCGGAGTGAAAGGCGTGGCTTGTTTGCAAATGAAGAGAGAGAGGTTAATGTATAAAATGTTTGGAAAGAAAGGTCAGAGTCAGTTGTATTAAAAATCTAGTGAAGTTAAATTGTACCTTGAGTAGTAGAACCAGAACCATTGTTAGATCTAGTTGTAGTTATGAGCTTGAACGAAGATAGCTAACTTGATTTATTTTATTGCACAGTGTGTAATTTGTATTTAATTCAAGTGATTCTTGTTTCCAGAATTAAAAAAAACAACCTTTGTATTTATTTGTTGGTAATCTTCATTGTTTGAATTAATAGTTTGCATTTAAATCCCGGCATAACTATCTTATTTGAGTGCTCAGTAATTGTTTAAAATAGAAATCTACATTAAATTATACTATTAGAAACGCATTGTCTGATCAACTCAATCTCATCGTAACATCTTTACGTCAAGCGGATCGTCACACATACACTAATGACCTAGTTGCGCACACAGTCAACTGACGTCAAATCTTACTCCTTGCTACCACTCTCCTCGTCAGCGTGCTAGTTTTGAAGATAATGTTGTATTCGCTTTCAGTTGTGTTTTCGTTATCTTTACATTTATTTTGTGCGCGGCAATTTACGTCTCGAGAGACGATCTATTCTCTTTGCAACTTCTTGTGTGAACAAAGAGGACATTGCTACACAGCTGAGGTCACAGGTTGGGGCACTTATAATCACCAGGTGCCCTTGCATTTCCTCCATCATGTCACTACTACATTTTACAATCCGGGACCCTCTCTTATATCTTATTATCTTATAAAATAAAGACGTTACTTCAAAAAGAAGATGATTACGTCCTACGCGTCATGCATTTAGTCATGCATATTAACCAATGACCTAAATTCTGCCAAGTCACTGGTTTTCCTGGCTAGCTCAGGCAACCCATTCCATGCTCTAATAGCACTAGGGAAGAAGGAGTATTTAAACAAATTTGTCGTAGCATGTGAATCTATCCAGTGCCAATTTTTCCCAACTGTTAGTGTTGATTTTGAAGCGCTTTATGTCACGTTTGCATACATCAGTATACAGTAAAAGTGGACGACCAGCGGCTCTCCTGCCTTCTGCTAGATCACTATACAGAATGTCCCGAGAATGTCTTGTGGAAATCCACCTTGAGGCATTCTATGAACGGAATAACTAAATTTGAATTTATTGTTCTTTTACAAATGAGGAGATAACTCGATAGTCGCCATCCAACTTGAGCTTACGTAACTATAGCAACAGCAGGCTGCTATCTTTGTTCGTGTTGTTAGTGTATAGTGTTCTCAACACGGTGCCTCAGTGCCATGAGACTTATAGGCTCTGAGGCAACATACTAACAGCCTCGTTCATTGTGCTCATCTTCGACCACAAAGGAGGAGATTAATATATATAAGAGGCGTGGAGTCTGAGTGATAAGACACTTGGCTTCCAAATCGGAGGGTTTTAATTTTTCAGGCTCGCAGTTTTCAGATTATTTTCTATTCTTTTATAAGAAAAAGAAAAAAAGTAAAGTTCTCCTTTCAGATCAAGCGGCTGTAGAGCAGATGATGTGAAGGTCAACTGTTTCTGTGGTCAACGGTTAACGAGGGTGTCATGTGACCAACATAAGGACAAGCCGCATTTACTTACCCCCAACTTTAAAGGATTGCGTAATAATAATTTCGCCAAGCCGATTCATTCTCTTCGCCGATATTATTGTAAAAAAGAACAAGTGACTTTAACAAAATGTATTTGAATGAAAAGTGTTGGTTTGAAATTTTTTATTCTTTTGTTTTTGAATGAATACAAACGTGAATTCTCGAAATATTACTCCTTACAGCCGTAATTAAATCCAAGATTTATGACGCCATCGAAAACAATGAGTGACTCCAAAATCTACAATTACTCTGAAGGCATTGGATGACTTCAAGATATATGACGCTAAATAAAACATTCAGTGACTCTTAAGATCTTTGATTCCACCATGGGAATTGAATGATACCTACCTACCGGTATTGAATAACTCAAGGATCTGTAATTCCATCGAAGTTATATGAAGGGCATGAATATCTTTGACTCTACCGCAGACACTGAATAACTCGAATATCTTTGACTCTACCGCAGACACTGAATAACTCGAATATCTTTGACTCTACCGCAGACACTGAATAACTCGAATATCTTTGACTCTACCGCAGACACTGAATAACTCGAATATCTTTGACTCTACCGCAGACACTGAATAACTCGAATATCTTTGACTCTACCGCAGACACTGAATAACTCGAATATCTTTGACTCTACCGCAGACACTGAATAACTCGAATATCTTTGACCCTACCGCAGACACTGAATAACTCGAATATCTTTGACTCTACCGCAGACACTGAATAACTTGAAGATCTTTGATTCTACACAGACACTGAATAACTTGAAGATCTGTGACTCTACCGGAAGTCATTGAATGATTCCTACATCTATAAATAGACCGAATTTAATGCATGTTAAAACATTTTAATGATCACACCATGGAACTATATTAAGGTCTCGACTATATCGTATGCCAAAGCATTTTAATGATAACATGAACATCAAGGCCTAAACTCTAAAGATCTAAATTTGGTTACTGTATGATATCAAAACAGTTGTCACCCTTCCTTTAAAATACTTTAAATGCCTTCACTCAGCGATTCTGTCCAACAGTGTTACGTAACATTAAAAACATTAAAAGTACGTTTACAAAATATAAAGACCATACCTCCTTTATACATCTTATGGAGCTATTATTTTGATCTTAATAACTAATTGTCACGTACACTGTATCTATATTTAGCCGCCCAAGGTTACCAGCCAGAACTTGCTAGCTCGGGGAATTCCATCACGCGGCAGGGCTATGTGTCAGAATAAATGTGATTGGTTTTGAAATATTAATAATTGTACATTGAGCTGCATTTATTGGTTGGCATTGCAACGAGGTGATGTTAGACACGTGACAACGCTATACCCGGGGAAAGATTCTAGATTTTTAGTCAGTGTCGTGCGGAACGTGTTAGGATTCAGATGTATATTTTACATTTAGCTACTTCTATACGATCATCTTATTAAAAGACGATTTCAAGATCCTCGGCAATCACGATCATTGATAGTGTGATATATAGATCAAGATAATCTTCAACGTGACATCTATCATAGCATCTATTTTAGATCTTGACATCTGACATCCATAATTGATGATCGCGACACTAATGAATGTTAGATTTTTAAAAAAGTACATTTCTACGAAAATCGTTAGAGTCGTTTTTAAGAATCGCATCCACCGAGTCCACCCCTTCAGAAGTTTCCAGGTTTTTGCTTCCAAGAAGTTACGAGTTGAATAGAGGTTATTGTAAAAAGACTCAGAGTTTTTCTCTCTTGAACAATAAACAAAAAAAAAAAAAAAATCGCATAGACACATTGTCTTTTAGTTGCTTTCTAAATGTAATCTTTATTTCAATCTTTGTTTAATAAATAGTTTTAGAGCATAATTAATTCAAAGACTTCTCTAATATCACAGATCTGAATCAAGACAGTTCATAATGCATATAACCAATTGACTTTACCATTCTTATTTAATGTCCAAATGAAGTAAATGGTTTACAGAAACGTTTTGTTTATATTACTCTTAACATACAAAAGATAGAAGAGACATTGATGGTTTATTTTTTTAATGGATATCTTGGTTTCTTGTAATATCTTGTGGGGGTGATTCTTGGCCTGTAGGTTGGCAATGGTCTTAACGGACTGAAGCTTGGCCAACGTGTGCTGGAAGAGAAGACCTGACGCTTACCCACAGCTTGTGTTGCGTTGGTGGGTGATTTTGTGGTAGTTGTGTTGACTGGGGCAGTTGTAGTGTTCAAAGGTTTTACAGTGGTGGTATTGACTGGAGAAATTGTAGTGTTGACTGGGAAAGTTGTAGTGTTTAATGGTTTGACAGTGGTGGTGTTGACTGGTGCAATTGTAGTGTTGACTGGGGCAGTTGTAGTGTTTAATGGTTTGGTAGTGGTGGTGTTGACTGGGGCAGTTGTAGTGTTCAAAGGTTTGACAGTGGTGGTGTTGACTGGAGCAATAGTAGTGTTGACTGGGGAAGTTGTAGTGTTTAACGGTTTGACAGTGGTGGTGTTGACTGGGGCAGTTGTAGTGTTGACTGGGGCAGTTGTAGTGTTTAATGGCTTGACAGTGGTGGTGTTGACTGGAGCAATAGTAGTGTTGACTGGGGAAGTTGTAGTGTTCAAAGGTTTGACAGTGGTGGTGTTGACTGGAGCAATAGTAGTGTTGACTGGGGAAGTTGTAGTGTTCAAAGGTTTGACAGTCGTGGTGTTGACTGGTGCAATTGTAGTGTTGACTGGGGCAGTTGTAGTGTTTAATGGCTTGACAGTGGTGGTGTTGACTGGTGCAATTGTAGTGTTGACTGGGGCAGTTGTAGTGTTTAATGGTTTGACAGTGGTGGTGTTTACTGGGACAGTTGTAGTGTTCAAAGGTTTGGCAGTGGTCGTGTTGACGGGGGTAGTTGTAGTGTTCAGAGGTTTGACAGTGGTGGTGTTGACAGGAGCAGTTGTAGTATTAACAGGGGCAGCTGTAGCGTTTAAAGGCTTAACTGTGGTGTTGTTACTAGCTGAGACAGTGGTATTCACCGGACGAACAGTAGTAGTTGTTGTGTTGATCCATGGTGAGTAGGTGGCGCTCGGGGCTTTAAATAAGTAGTAAGCTAAATCGGCTTCAATCGCCTTCTTACACTTATCAGTGTAGTTGCCCAGGCTGGAAGAGTTATAGGTTGCGAATCTGACCTTGGCTAATTCAGAGCCTACGCCAGCGTAAGGAAATGTGATGTTGGAGCCATTGTAAGATTTCGCGGACACCAGAAGCTGTTGAGTTAAAAAGAAACGTTTGTTACTGGAGAATGAAGTTTTAAAAATGTAACACTAAAAGATTGTTTCAGATTCTGTACATATACTTCTCTACGTCGCCCAAGCATGTAGCCCTTCCCGCTCGCACCCGCGCCTTCCTCGCTCTCCAGGCATACGCACACATTCGTTAGCCCAAACCCACCCCATTTTGACAACTGTGTCTTTCAGGAAGTGATCACCCGTCACTAAATAGCGGCGTATGCTGCGCGCTGGCTAGTAGTAATTAATTCATATTCCTTTTAAGATTCGATTCACTAGGCCACTGTGTTACGTTTAGCATGTTATAAGGTGATGCGGGGTCTTAATTTAAACAGTGGGCTAAGGAAACTGTTGGAGATTTTGAATTTGACACTTATCTTATTTCATAAATTCCATTTCCATACGGAAAATGGCCGACTCCTCTACAACCAAAGCGAAAGCCATCTTAACCTGCAATATATTTAGACAAGACTGTCTCTCCAAAATAGGGCTCCACAGCCATATGAAAAAGTGTTCGAGATGAACCATAGTCGTTCTACGACTGAAGGAGGCCAATATAAAATAGAAGATAATTACACCCTACCCGTATCCATGTGTCAATCTAGTCATGCGCGTTTAACTCTGATAAGTCATTGGCTTTTCTGGCTGATTCAGGCAACCCGTTCCGTGATCTAATGGCTTTAGGGATGATTGTACAAAATTTTCCTAGCAAATGGACTTCGAAATCTGATTTATCTTTGTGTTATCTTGAGAGTTCTTTTCAACTGATGATTATTTCTATGCAAGGACAAGTATACGTAAATATAGTCTCTCGAGATGTAAAGATTGTCTCGAGACGTGAAGATAATCTCTCTAGATGTAAATATGGTCTCTAAAGTCGTAAAGATAATCTCTCGACACGTAAAGATAATCTATCGAGACATAAAACATTGCAGTATCCTCCCTATCCTGTATTTTATGCTATATCATCTTACTTTCGAGATGTAAATATAGTCTCTCTATATGTAAAGATTGTCTCTCGAGATGTAAATATAGTCTATCGAGACGTAAAGATCGTCTCTCGAGATATAAAGATAGTTTCTCGAGACGTAAAGATATTCTCTCGAGATGCAAAGATAAAATTTTTCGAGATGTAAAGATAGTCACTCGAAACGTAAAGATAGTCTCTCGAGACGTAGAGATAGTCTCTCGAGACGTAAAGATAGTCTCTCGAGATGTAAAGATAGTCTCTCAAGACGTATAGATAGTCTCTCGAGATGTATAGATAGTCTCTCGGGATGTAAAGATCGTCTGTGTGACGTATAGAGAGTCTCTCGTGACGTATAGAGAGTCTCTCGTGACGTATAGAGAGTCTCTCGGGATGTAAAGATAGTCTCTCGTGACGTATAGATAGTCTCTCGGGATGTAAAGATCGTCTCTCGTGAAGTATAGAGAGTCTCTCGTGACGTATAGAGAGTCTCTCGAGACGTAAAGATCGTCTCTCGAGACATATAGATAGTTTCTCGGGACGTAAAGATAGTCTCTCGAGACGCATAGATAGTCTCTCAAGACGCATAGATAGTCTCTCGAGACGTATAGAAAGTCTCTCGGGATGTAAAGATAGTCTCACGAGATGTAAATATAGTCTCTCGAGATGTAAAGATAATCTCTCGAGATGTAAAGATAGTCTCTCGAGACGTCAAGATAGTCTCTTGTGACCTGAGATATTACAGTATTGTCTCCGTCTAGTATTTCCAGCTAGATCTACTTACCTCAAAACCTCGATTCGAAGTTAGTAAATCTGTCACAAAGTTTAATGTCCAAGTGCTGTTTGCAGGCACCGGAAAGTCAAATGTTCTTCCAGTCGTCCAGTTACCACAATAGTTGACATTGTTCAGACAGAGTTTGTCGTACGAACAGGAAGTATTTTGGAACTCAACGTCAAAAGAACTGAAATGCCAATAAATAAATAATTGTAAATCGATTTCACATAGAACTTCGAAGTCTAAATTATACGTTGTTTTTTTTTTCATTTTGGTGGGAGAGCAATATAAAGGGAGATTATTGAACTTTATAGAACAAGGATAAAGTAAAGATTGAATACTACTAATAATTGTGAGCAGACTAGAAGAGCCACGCCGTCTCTACGTTGATGGTAGAATGTTGGAAGGTATAACGTTGGTTAAAAGAAAGAATGTAATTAGAAAATGTCCATTTAAAGACATTTTGAATTTCGAGATTCTTAACACGTCCAGAGCTCATCCAACTCTGATGGGTACATGAAAATTAAATCTGAAAGAGTAAAAAGGCTTTTGCTTGTTGCATTGGCCATCTCGGCTTCTCGTTAGCCGTTAGGTTATATCAACGGAAAAGCATTACATTATTAGCCCCCACGGATTACCTGGTCTGAAAAGGTAGGTAGGGCATGCATGTAACATAGTCCTACCCTATACGCATTTTTATGGGCGCGGTGGCTGAGTGGTTTAGCGCTTGGCTTCCGAACCAGGGATCCTGGGTTCGAATCTCAGTGGAGACTGGGTTTTCAATTTCGTTTTTTTTTTATGGCGCTCCGTAGTCCACCCAACTCTAATGGGTAACTAACTCAAGTTGGGAAAAGTAAAGGCGGTTGTTGTGCTGGTCACAAGACACCCTACTCGTTAACAGTTGGCCACAGAAACAGATGACCTTAGCATCATCTACCACATAGATCGCAAGGTCTGAAAGGGGAAACTTAAATACACATTTTTGGTCCATAGAATTAGAATTTTCAAACAACATCTTTTAGAGCTCGGATTGAAAGATACATTTCATGTCTTAAATTTATTCTGAAAACTAGTTACAGGCGATCCCAACAATAGGAACTTTGAAATTAAGGATCAGCAGTGAGAGTTTGAGGGTTCCAATTCAGCTAAAAAAAATGTACAGGTGTAATGACAATGATCAACATTAATATTATAATTAGTGTAATAGAAATTAAAGAGCGCTTAGTTTAACTTGAAGCAGTGTTATGATGGTATTGAAACAAAAAATCACGACAAAATAGCATTAACACTTGGCCATCGATGTTTAAAAGATTGGACTTACCAACATCTGGCCGTCAATATGCAAGATTGGACTTACCAACATGTGGCAATGGATATGAAAGATTGGACTCACCCACATGTGGCCATAGATATGAAAGATTGGACTAACCTACATGTGACCATCGATATGAAAGATTGGACTAACCTACATGTGGCAATGGATATGAAAGATTGGACTCACTAACTCGAGGTCATAGATATGAGACTGGACTCACCATCATGTGGTCATCAATATTAAAGATTGTGACCATTGACAAGACAGACAGCACTCACCTAAATGTGACGCTAATGACCAAAGGTTTTGTTTGAGTTTGAAATACGATGTTGCATTTAGTGTAGTTCTTGTAGTCGCTGATGCTGTAGTTGTTGCTACGTACGACGCCAGAGGTCTGCTCGTCAATGTCCACTAAGATAGATTTGGAACCTTTGCAAAACTCCACAACCTTGGGCGTGGCCTGGTTAAAGAGAGAGAGAGAGAAGGAGAAGATGTGAAGGTGAGAAAGAGTTAAAGAACGAGAGAGAGAGAGAGAAAAAATGAGAGAGGACTTGAAAGAGTGAGAGAGAGCATACAGCGGTGTTCCTTATGGGAACAACTAAACATATAACATACTAAATAATAGCCAAAGTGGCAAAAAATAATATAAAGTGGCAAAACATAATATACAATAACATGATATATAATAGAATACATTACATTTATTTAGAATGAATAGATGCCTCATTAGGTGTAATATTATAATGCAGTGATACACAGCGTTAGATTGATTTTAATTATAATAAACAAGCAAACAAAGTTTGAACGTTTTCTTAAGTCTCCCAAGTAATGGTTACTTCATTTTTTATACAACTATTGAAGATTTTCAAACATGGCGGAAAATAAAAAAGTTAAAAGAGTGACCTTAGATTTGTGTTGACCATATGATGCGATTGCGAAGATTGTGGTTGAGATTGTGATGTTTCAATTGTATAAAATTCAGTCCACGAAATATCTTATAAAATACTGACGTTACTTAAAAAAAAAATGAAAATTATTACGTCCTAGTGTCCGTAGGTCAATCTAGTCATGCATGTTAATCAATGACTTAAATTCTAAGTTATTGGTTTTCATGTCTGACTCAGGCAACCCTTTCCTAATAGCACTAGTGAAGAATGGCTGCCTGGTCGTGCGGTTTGCGCGCTGGACTGTCGTTTGGATTTATCGATGGTCCCTTTTGCTCGAACTATCCAATCTATTTATGGCACTTATGGACACTTCTTAATGTCATCTTAATTTTACACTTACTTTAAACATGTTCTAGAAATATATTGACAAACAAAACCAGCTAGTTTCAACAATATGACGCTTATATTACGTGACAGCAAACTTTTGAGTGCATCAGGTCTACAAAAGAAAAGAATTGTTGATATGAGCTTTGTTTTTCAAAAGTTACATGCTAATATCTGAGCACATTTTGGCACTGCAGACAAGCTCTTGTGTTTATGACTTGTAATTAGTTGGCAATTTTAAAGTTCCATTTAGCGTCCTTGGACTTGTTAAGTTTAGCGTGAACATCTCAAATAGTGACTATACAAAACAAAACTTAGGGACAGTTTGAGAGACTAGGACAGACTCGAGACGCCTGGAAGAAGCTGGTTGGAG